ATATATACATACATATACACACAAGGTGAAACAATATTCGGGCACAAGCTATTCATAGTGAGATTCCTTGTTAAAAAGCAAGTAAAAAATATGATACATCATATGTCCTGTAACATTTAGTTTTCATGATACATGTTCACATGTCCACAGAATGTTGTGCAAAAAGAGCTCATCTGCAGCCTGTGTATTTAGCCATTAGTAAAATGGCAGTATGGAAATATATGTGCGCTCCAAAGTACATTGAGGAACCTCGGTTGGGACAGTCTCATGCGACATTGCATCAGCTGCAAGGATGGCATCATCATTGGATGGTGTCTGTACAGTCTGTGGGCAACCTGCATTCACATGTGCCGTAGGAGATGCACGTTCTATCTCACAGAGACACTGCCCCAGTTGTCGAAACACATTAGCGTCTGCATGATGTTGACTAGGATAACATAGTGTGTATTCCTATGCAGCAGAACCAGCTCGACTCTTACAGGCATTGAGGATTATTAGCATGTTGCAGTATTTGTCGTGTATGTATTCCAAGATAATTGCTGTGCAATGCACTTTATGTATTGCGATAAATTTCACTGCTTTGAAGTGTTAACCCATTTGACAGTGATGGCTATCTCAAAAACTGAACATCGCAGTACGTACATTGTACAACATTTTTGACATTTTTTAACAAGGAATCACTATGGAGACCTTGTGCTATTCCTTAACTGTCTAGTCCCTATAATTCCAACACTTTCTACTTACATGGCTTACTTATTGCCCTGATGATGAAGGCAGCAAGGACCTCTAAAATGTTGGTAAATTTATACTAGACTACATGGTGCAACAACCCAGAAGACACATCTTCAGACTCACCGCCGTGAAAAGCTCAAATCCTACAATATCACAATTCTGCCCATCAAATGCCTTGCTGATATTCTTCATTGACATGCATAAGCAGTACATCACGATTATTAAAAGGGAACTTGAATTCTTCAGCATTTATTTATTTTTATTTTAGACTGTAATCTTAATGGATTTCTGAATGGAGCATTGTAGGATGGGATTCAAATGTTCCCTTAATTTTAGTAAATTGATCGCTCACTTGTATTATTGAAAGTTAGTGTGATAACAGCCATTATTAAGAAATAGTCTTCTCTTAGAACTGGTATTTATGTTTACAAACTTATTACTTTATAATAATGAAAGAATTTTTTCCTTTTTACTGAAACATCAAAAATGATATTTGTAATATTATTCAAACTGGTAAATGCCCACTTTTAATGTACTGTTGCTCAGAAATTCATATGGGATACTTTAATATTTAGTGATGCATAAATTACAGGTATTTCAAAGAATGTGTACAAGTGAATTTAGATATTTGTATTTTACATTTAAGTTTTTAATGTTACTTTATAGTTCAGAAGCATTCCCAAGAGAAGTGCGTATGGTAAATGCTTAAACCATAATATATTTTAATGTTCCTTTTGCAGAAATTAATTTTGTAAAATAAAAGTGTTTTGGTTTGTTATTAATCAAGAAATATGTATAGTAAACTTTGTAATTACATTTGTTATAACTGGTAAGAACTGGCACATGTCAATTTTAATCTGTCTGTGTTTGAGTTAACATAAGAAAAACAGCTCATGGTTCTACAGTAGTAGTATGCCAGTTTTTCTATTTTAAGTAACATAAATATGTCTCTTCACAAACAATTTCTTTGTGCACAAAGTCTGCTACATGACAAACTTGAGAAGTACTTATTTTAAGGTTATGTTGTCATGACACCATAGCTGACAGTATACCCCTTTTGGTCTTAGTGTATATGGTGTAATTAAACTTGTCATTATGTCTCAAAGTATATGTAGAAACCTGTTACAGCACTAATAATTAATGGAAAAATTAGTGTTTACATGATGGTGTACATGTACATATAAAGTTAATTATAATGAACAACTGTGGAATAAAAATATATTTATCACATTCTTTCTCACTCTTTTCTTCCATTCTAGAGAATATTGATGTTAAATAACTTGCATTGCCTGAATTCTGAATGTGAACAGTAGCACAGAAAAACTATGTATACCACTTGTATATATTCTCCATTGTTCAATTTTGTAGATATTAAATGATCTCTCACTGCTAATGGCCAGGCATTTACATATGTAGTTCACATTAAAAATGCTTTTAGCAGCCAAACTTTCCCACTTCCTCAATTTGGATAGGAAGGTTTATATTTACTTTCAGTGTGGTTAATAAATCGATTTTATACATTACAAATTAATTTTGGTAGTTTAAATTAAATATATAAACATAGATCAGAAAAGTACTTTACATTTAAAATAAAATTATTATAATAATGGCAGGCACTAAAATGAGACAGAATTAAGAAATTTAATATTCCACTAGCTAGCAAATTCTTGTGCTCATTATTGTCATTAGTAGTGGACAACATAGAAAATTTTCAAACAAACTCAGATATCCATAACATAAGTGCAAGATACAGATATAACTTTCATGTGCCACACTGACCTCTGCAAATATCAAAATGGAGTATACTGTATTAGAATTAGGCTGTTCAGCGATTTTCGCCCTACTATAAACAGTCTAAATCAGGAAACAAAAAATTTAAGCTAGCACTAAAAGTGTATCTCTTACTCCATAGAAGAATTTACCTCAAAAAAAATCCTGTTATTATAAATTCATGTAGTGGTTATGATTTCTTGTGTAATTATTTTTATTGTAACACTGAAGTTGACTGTATATTTTCATAACTATTTCATTTATATTTGTATTAGAAACAAATATTTGTGCTATGATATGTTCTACATCCTTGTCTTGGGTCTCTGAAAGCTCTATGGAGTGTAAATAAATTCTATTCATCTTTACACTACCATCAGATTACATGGCACATCATCCCAAAATGTACAAATATTCGAAACGATTCTCACTATTTAGCACAAATTAGCCGAGCAAACAGATTCCAGGGATTAATTACTTTGCCTCTTTGCTATCTATTGCGATCAGTATTAGCATGGGTTCCAACATCCTACTCATGAGATTATAGTTCGTAAAATTTGCATTTGGGAATGTTGAAGTGCTGTTAGGTTGGTATCCTGAGAAACTTTTACTTTTAAAATTTATATCCTGTGATCAATTTCCTGTAGTACCCAACAAAACTTTTTTACTTATCTGTGATCAGTTGTATGAAAAGATGGAGTACGAGGTTTGTGCTAAAGGTGCTCTGAAATTAAAAAGTGATTGTGAGGTTAAAAAGTAAGTATAAAACTGTTTTTTAACTATATATATGTATGATAATGTATATTGCTGAATGTCAAGATCATATTTTCCTTATTAATTGACTGAACTGTCAACTTTCTTTCAATGTGTCACATGCGTAGGATACTAATTGCACAACAAAT